TAACATTTTATGTGGAACCGAACCCAAAATCGATTTAAGTTTATCGTTATCGCTAAACCTATATTGGATAAATCGGGTTGCGGCGATTTTCCTTTATTTTCGGGAGATTTCTTCCTCTTTCCGTAAAAAAACTTCTTCCAAAAATTTGACAGCAAGAAGCTTTTACTTTAAACATAAAAAAAAATTGCCATTATGTCTGAAAAAAACTGGTAAGCTTTCTTTTTAAGAAAACGTATTTTAATTTAAGGTAAGACTAAAAGTAAATATCGATAATTAAATACTATTATTAAACTAGGCCACCATGCCGTCCGATTATTTATCATGATATTCAAGAGTTTGATGAGCTTAGTACTCGTCAGACCGTTGAACAATCCTACAATCTATGGCTTTGTAATTATATCATAATTTTAAATATGTAAATTCACTTTTTCCTATTATTTCAACAAATTAACTATAAATATTGTATTTAAATTTTTTTCCTGTATGAACATAGTATATTTTATTACTTTGATATTCAATTTTATAGCAATTTTGATTACCAGTTTCACTGGCCGTTATTCTGCGTAAGCAATATCGCAGCTTAATTTTTGATTGAATTATAATTTTGCCTTTAATTTTAACGGTTAGTTTATAATTCATAGTATCTCAGTCATTGGTCAGCTCCTACTTGCGCTTGTTTATATCCTCTTATGGCCAATATTTGATTTCTTTGCTAGACATCTTACCTTGTATAGAGCTTACAAGTAATTAATCTTCATCTGTTTTTTTCTCACGAGATATAATAATTAATTTTATTAGATAACTTAATTTTCTTTATTAATTACATCACAGAGGTGATAATCTAAGCTATTTCCGTTGGTTTTTCCTCGTAACATTACTTGATATCATTTTTGGTGTATTCATCGGTATTGGTTGGGTTTTCGGAGGCGGTGGTGGATTAATTGAGATGGTTACAAATTTTAAAGCGATCCATGAAAAAGGAGCTATTGCCATAGTCGCTGGTGTTTTTAACGCTGTCTGTGCTACATTAGTGTTTGCGCAAGTCGTTATGCACATTATGTTGTGGCGTAGGGTAATTGCTAGAATTATTTTCATTTTGTTGAGATATTTTAAACTAAATGTTAACGTGTTTTTTTGTTTATTTACAGGTATACGCTTACATTGAATCTAAAGGTTGGACACTTCTCCCTGGAAAATAAGTTTTTGCATAAATAAAAGAAATAACCTTTATAATAATGTAGTATATTTTCGAAATTATTTTATAAATATGTTTATTTACGATGTTTGTTTTTTGAAATTTTTTAAATAAAATTAGAATATTTCTATACATTATCTGTTAAGTAATGGATTTCCTTTAGTATAGCTGGGCAATATTGAAATATTATACTGTAATATAAAAAAAACTCTAACCCTAACCCTATTCTAAATTAAACTATAAACTATAACCCTCACCCTAACCCTAACTATTGCTTAAATTGGTTTAAATAATTCTATATTGCCCAGCTATACTAAAGATCAACCGTTTTGTTAAATTTTTATTACTGCTTACAAAATAAACAATAATCTTTAAGCTTTAATTTACTTTTTAAAATATAGTCATCCTCCTCTATAATTACACAGTTTGTTTTATATAAAAAAGATATAGTTATAAAATTTTAATAGTAATATGATTTTATAAAGTTTTTTTTTTTAAATAAATAAATTACCAATAATTTTTCAAAAAATAGTGTTTATAAAGAGGATATAACCATATAGGAGGTGACTATAGAGAAGGATAATAATATTAATAATATTTAAATAACTTTTAAATATAGTTTAAAGCTTTTTTTAAATTTTTATTATAAAATTTTTTCAAAATTTTATATATTTTTAAATATAAAAAATCTATTTCTAACAAATTTAATTATTATAAATACGTAATTATACTGTATAAGCTATAATATTATACTAAAAATTATAAATCTAAAATTAATATTTAAAAAGCTTATCAAAAAATTGTAAATTATTTTTTAATAAAAATTTTTTTTAAAATTATATATTTTTGGTTAAACTTTTGTTATATAATATATAAATACTGCAAAATATTACAAAAAAGCAACTTTTTTTTTTTTTTTTTTAAATATAACTATTATTGCTTCAAAATTTTTGATAATTTTAAAAAAATTTTTTAAAATTATATTTTATTTAAAAAATATATAGCTAAAATTAATATTTAAAAATTTATTAAAAAATTTAAATTTTTTTTAAAAAAAGATAAGCTAAATTTGAATAAAAAATTTATTAAAAAAAATTTTTGGGTTTAAAAATTTAAATTAATAAGGTTTAAAATTTGTATAGTTATAAAAATTTTTATATTATTATTTAAGTATAATTAAATAAAGTTTTAGTTAATATAATAAGAAAATAAAACTATATATTATCATTATGGAGAATTTACGAAATTAAAGCATTTTGACTTATTATGAAATGCATCATTTACTATAAGTTTTTTGACATTTCTTATTGTAAAATCATATAGATTATGTCTAATCCATCTTCCCGTGAAAAGATGGGTTAAACGTTATCTACATGATTTTACAATGAGAAATGTCAAAAAACAAATAGTAAATGACGCATTTCATAGTAAGTCAAAATGCTCTAATTTCATAAATTCTCCGTAATGTATTGCTGTAAAAACCAAATAGTTATACAGTAATATAAGCTTTACAAATATTTTTGATAAAGCAAAAGTAATTTCTAATTAATTAAAAAAAATATAAATTGTAAAAAATTAGTACCGTACAAGCGCGAAATAACGTCCACCTGCGCGTTAATTAATTGGTCTGCGCATTATTCCGAGTACGCGCATGTGCGTTATTTCGAAACAAGGGTTGAATCCACACCCCTAAATTATAATAAATAGTATTTATTTAGAATAAGAATTAAAAAGTGCACCGGAACTGGGTTTGGTATTAAGTAAAGGTATTTTTTGCCATTAACAAAAGTTGTTTAGATTTAACGGTAGTAAAATCTAAAACGGTCTAGAGTTCACCCGCAATGGCTCTATAAAGTTTTACGTTTATTTACATGATTTTGCAAAATTTTGAAGACAATTTTGCTACCATTAGAATCGTCTCTACCTGAAGAGCAACTTATATTAAAGTCGAAAAATAGGTTTACTTTACCAAACCCAGTTCCGGAAACACTTTATATGGATGCGCGTTAATTCGGGATGCCTAATTTGAAGCTACATATGCTGTTTTAGAAATTAACGCCCTGAGCGTTATTTCGCGCTTTTACGGTATGTTTAAAAGTAAAAAAAAAAAAAAAACTGTTTAGCAAACATGTCAGTATAATTATTAAAGTAGTTATCTGAATAAGCTTGTACTTTGTAAAAGTTAAATATTATAAAATTTTATAAAATTGATAATGCTAAATAAAATACAAATAATGCATACCAGGTAGACCAAGAATTGAATTTGAAGAATTTGGCATAAAGTAAGAAAGAT